TCTTGAATAGTGAGCTTATGGGGTCCTAAGCCTGTGTGCTATCCAAAGGTACTCTTTATGACAGAACCATACAGAAAGACAAGGACACCAGATTTGGTACAGCTTAAGAATAGACTCAGAATCATTTTTTGCATTAATTAAAACTTTACAGAGGAGATAATCGTGATTTTTGCCATTCATTTAACCAGTTTGCACAGATTGAGGCCAGAAGCCTGGTAAGAAATTCTTGCCCTTTTGCTGGCTTGTCAGATTTCTGGGTTCTCCTTCCCTGAGTAGCCCCAGTGACCCTGCTTACCACACCATAGTTCTGGGGGCCAGACTGCATCACAAAGGAAAATAATGGAACCACAGGCAAAATTATCTCAATTTTGCAAGTTGCTGCCCAACCAGTTGTATGGGGGACCCAAATTCTAATATTTTCCATTCTGGCCAGAGTAAAATATGTGTGTTTTAAATAAAAATATTGAAATCTTTTTAGAAGCTTCTGTAGATCAGTAGGCATCTGTAGATGAGATTAATTTGGGAGCCTCATTGTTTTAAATGCACTTCAGTGCGTTGTTCATTTGGAGTGTTCTATTGTAAGTTATCCTTAGTGAGATCTCACCATTTCTGTGAGACTTCACTGCTTCTGGGGCCTAACATTTATGCATGTATACGCCGGAAGGAACTCAGTTCTTCAGAAATTAAGGATACCATTTTTACCCAAAATACTGGCTTTGCTCTCGGGTTCCCTTAACTTAGCCAGTAATTTTTTTTTCCTACCTAAGCGCACAAGAAAAATGAAACAGAGTTAGAACACAAAAATCCCTGCGAATATATACACATATTTTTGAGATGGAGTCTCGCTCTGTCCCCCAGGCTGGAGTGCTTTGGTGCGATCTTGGCTTACTGCAAGCTCCACCACATGGGTTCATGCCATTCTCCTGCCTCAGCCCCCTGAGTAGCTGGGACTATAGGCGCCTGTCAACATGCCCGGCAAATTTTTTGTATTTTTAGTAGAGATGGGGTTTCACCATGTTAGCCAGGATGGTCTCGATCTCTTGACCTCGTGATCTGCCCGTCTCGGCCTCCCAAAGTGCTGGGGTTACAGGTGTGAGCCGCCGTGCCCGTCCCCTGCGAATTTTTAAAAGCCATATTTTATAGCCCCTGCAATATTACCACTTACTACCAGTTTCTTTCTGACCCACTCAGATGTAAGAAGCCTCTAACTGGATTCAAGCCAGTTAATTACTGGAACAGATCTGATCCTGGACCCGGTCCAGTTTCTGTCGATTCACTAATTGGCCAGCCCCCAGAATCACAGCAGATTCAGAGAGACTCCAGTGCAGCACATGGCAGAAGAAGATTAGAGACAAAGGGAAGTGAGGTACAGAAATTGGAAAGTGAGGTACACAAACAACTGGATTGGTTACAGGTTGGCATTTTACTTATTTGAACACAGTTTGAGCACTTGGCAATGTATGAGTGGCTGCAGTATGGCTGCTGGCATTGGCCAAGACTCAGCCATTGTTACAGGTGCATACTCCTAAATTGGGTTTTCCATCTTGTCTACCTCTTAAGTTAGGTTGCAGCTTGTCCACAAGGACTCAAATATAGAAGTATGGAGTCCTTCTCAGGCCATTTTAGTTCGCTTTAACAATTATGGATGTCAAAACACACACACGCACGCAAAAAAAGTTAAATGTAGAACCAGACTTGAAGCTCTTCTGTTAAAGCAGCAGGTGTTTAGTTTTTGGAAAATAATGTCATCTTTCAATGTGATTAATGTTTTTATAGTATTATTAGTTTGCTCGTTTTGTTAGAATTTTATACTTTTCTCTTGATTTTACAGTTTTGTAAGAACTATAAGCCTAAGTAGTTTGTTTGCATGTGTATACTTAAATACTGTTGTATAAATAACACTTCGACCAAGTGAAAATTATTTTTTTTTTCTAGAAAAGAGTTCTGTACACTTCTTGAGTTTCAGAAACAGCGAATTAGAATATGTGGTTGGACTTCAAAACGTTTGAAATCCATTCTGTTTCCCAACTTCTCTTTTTCTATATTATTTCAAGTACAGTGTTTTA